TGAAGGAGAACCGGGCACTCACATCCCTCCAGTGAGTTTCCATCGGACCCGGTGTGCCCCTGATTTGCTCTCCCACAGACTGTGCCATCCTGGATGCACCCACAGGGGTTCGCTCTGGGTGAATGGGTGCTGAGCACAGAGGGATTGGGCCATCCCGCAGCCACGCACTTCACACCTTGTTCCTCTCGCAGCCTGCAGTGGAACTTCATTCAGACGCAAGCAGCCGTGGCCCTGGCACAAGCACTGCAGTCCAATGGCAGCCTGGTCAGCCTTGAGTAAGCATGGATACGGTGGGCAGGTTCCAGCACCTCTGGGCAGCATCCTCCTATGGGCACCAGCCAGGACCTAGCTTTGCCCTTTGCCTCCTCCATGTGCCCCATCCCGTCCCCATCCCCGGTCCCTGGTTGGGGGTGCTGGACGTGTGTGGCTCCCCAAGCATTCTGGCACACCACACCCCATTCTTGATGTGCTTTGCTGCCCATTTCCCTGCCCCCATCTGCTCAGGGCACACACAGTATTTGCTTGTCTCAGCTTGCAGGAGAACGTCATTGGGGATGAGGGAATGGCCGCCCTGGCTGCTGCACTGAAGGTCAACACCACGCTGGCAGATCTCCAGTGAGCACACAGGCTGTGGCAGAGCCCTGCCACTGCAGCTGATCTGATTAGCACGTCTAATTAGCACACAGCAGCCGCCTCGGGACACACACTGAAGGACTCTGTTCTCTTGCAGTCTCCAGGTAGCTTCCATCAGTGCAGCCGGTGCCCAAGCCCTAGCGGAGGCCTTGATGGTCAACAACAGCTTGCAGGTCCTGGAGTAAGTACTCAGCAGGGCAGTGAGCACCCATGACTGTGATGCTGCTCCCTGGGGTGTCTGAGACCCCCATGCTGGGCTCAGCACCGCTCGCTTCCCATATCATGTCCCCTGCTGGCCCGGGGCTGCCTTGTAGAAGATGTGGGTCCTCCTGATAGCCTGTCTTGCTTTGCAGCTTGAGGGGAAACTGCATCAGCGTGGCAGGGGCCAAGGCAATGGCCAAGGCATTGAAGGTGAACCGCAGCCTCCGCTGGCTCAAGTAAGTGTCCCGCTCCTAGGGATGAGAGGCAGGAGCCTTCCAGCCCTCCTGACCCCACTGCCCACCGCAGCCTGCAGGAGAACTCCTTGGGCATGGATGGGGCCATCTGCATCGCCACCGCGCTGAGGGGCAACCACGGCCTCACCTACGTCAAGTAAGTGGTGGTGAGCACTCAGCTGGATGGGGAGGCTGGTGCAGGGCTGGGGAGCTTCTCTCACACCCACCGGGGATCCTGAACCGCTCTTCCTCCCTGCTCCCAGCCTGCAGGGGAACCGTATCGGCCAGTCGGGAGCCAAGATGATCTCTGACGCCATCCGGACCAACTCACCTGACTGCATGGTGGTGGTGTGAGGGCATGCAGCTGTGCGAGGAGATGGCCGGGGGGGCAGAGGACATCCTTTGGCTCACTGCCCACCCATCGAGGGGAAGCTGGGGCAGGGAGAGCCCAGCAGCTCTCAGCATGGCCTCACAGGAGCTCACAGCTGCTACTGCGTCCCTGGGCTCTGAATCAGCAGCACAGGAGGGTTAGAAGCTGGGGAATGCACAGTTTGCCTGTTCACTCAGGCACGGGGGAGCTTCAAGGCTGCATAAATGGATGAAAAGGAAATGGGAGCGATGAGGGGGCAGATCCTACAGGGCAGGTCCCACAGGCACATGGGTGACTCAACTCCATCATAGGCCAGCAGCCCTCCCCTGCTGCAATGCTGTGCCTGCAGGCTGTTCTGTACCATGCACATCCTGACTGCACAGGAGCTCTGCTCACAACCCACCTGAAGATGCTGTAGGCAAATGCTACAGCACCCCAGCCTGGTCCCAGCACACTGCTCCAGTGCCAGCCCTTCTCTGTCTAGGTCTGCTAGGGCTGCCCAGAACACTGCATGAAACAGCAGCTCCTCCTCAGGCAGCCACACAGCCCAGTCCTGTAGGATGCTGCTGAAATCCTACTGAGATGAAAAGGCTGACATTCCCTTGTCCCTGCAGAGCAGGGGCTGCTCCCTGTGCAGCTGTGTGGTTTGCCATGCCCACAACAACACGTTGGCTTTGCCTGAGCAAACACAGTTCCTGAGTGTTTGGTACTGCTGCCCTACATCACGTCCTCTTGGAGGAGACAGGGACCTGAAGGCGCAGGAGTGCAGTCACTGAGAAAGGCCTTGGGAGGAAGGAAGGAAGGAAGGAAGGAGCAGGAGGAACAGCACTGCATGAAGATGGGCCACGTCCAGCACGCACAGGTGCAGGAGTGCCTCAGGACAAAGTTCTATCCCTCAAGCTGAGGACCACTGGGCTCCCTGCTCTTGCTGTTGGGTCACCTTCTAAGCAAGTGGCTGCCGAAAGCAGAGGTGCCAGGTGATGCCTCTGTGTGTGTGGCAGGTGTGGTGTCTCTCAAGAAGGTGCTGGGTTCGCAGCTGGAGCAGCAGCCACTCTGTGCAACCCCCCCAGCCTCCACAGTCAGCAGCCCCTCTCCCTTCACCTCCCAGAGCCGCACTTGGACACGTGGAGTCAGGGCAGTGAGCAGCTGCTCTGAGCACCTCTGTGAGCTGAGCCTGGGGGAATGCTGGGGTGAGCTGTGCCATATGTACATGCTTGGAAATAAATGAGATCCTAGCTGAAAAGACACTTTGCACTGCCTTCCTCTGTTGGTTGTGGGTGATCACATAGGACACTGAGGTGCACTACCTGACCTGTGTCCCTCTGCCTGGATGGGGACCTCACACCTCTTCCAGTGTGACTTTTACATCTCAGGAGCTGGCTCGCTTTCTCCAACAGGAAATAACGACACTGAAATCCTCCCTCGGTCACCAATACTTCAGAGCAGACAGGCTTGGGGCCAGCTCTGCCTAAACCCTTGGGAAATGTTCCCCAAAATGTCAATGGGAAACAGCAATCGGCAATCTCAAGCCACCTCCTGTACCCTGGGGCTCCAGGACATAAAGGGTTAACACCAATTTGAAACACATCCATCAGCCTGAGCACACCTACACACACCTAGCTGCATGCAAACACTCCTGAGCTGAACGGGGCAATTGCTCAGGGGGTTCCTTTCCAGCAGTGCTAGGGGCAGGCTGCTCTTGCCCTGCTGCTCATACCTGGTAGAAGAAGCTGCCATGGGGCTGTGCTGAAGGCTAGGTGGCAGTGCTGCCTGAGGAGACCCTGGCTCTGTGCACACGATGCAGTACTTCAGCTTTCCATTTCAGCCTATGGTACAGGAAAATAGCATAGAAAACACTCTCTGAAACTGCACTCTGAACTCCAGCACTGTGCCCAGCCTCATGGGCAATGTGCCTCACAGGTCAAAAGCATCTTCAGCACCCAGAGAGAATCAGAACAAATTCCCTAAGTAACATGGAAGAGTATTTTCAGCACAGGTGCTAAAACCAGGACGTTTCAGCCCCTGGGAGAAGGGAATGCAGTCAGCACGTTTTGCACCTTGCTGGCTGCCAGAGGATCACCCTAACGGCTCTGCAGTAGGTGCCCAGCACTGACAACTTCCTGCTTTGAGGTGAAGTACCAAATGCCAATTAACTGTACAACTAAAGGTGCAAAGAGGGGTCCTAACTGCCAGCTCAGCTCGAGCCCATACAGCTGTGTGCGTTCCAGCACGCCGCAGCACTCACACACGTACTGTTACTACACAGAAGTCGTGGACTATTTACCTGTAAAGCTTTGGCACATCCTGATAGGGCATTTCCAGTTCTGAGCTCAGCTGATGAGAAGCTGCTTTGGGTGTTAGAGATGTGAGAGATGGAAGAGCTCCTGGCTTTTCAGCTAACTGCTGTGCGTTCCTTCCTTCAGCTCAATAAAAGAGGGGTTGGACTACGCTCTTCAGGTGGAGGGAAAGCAAAGTACTTTGCTGGCATGAAAAAAAAGGATGGGAGAACAGCGGAGCTCTTGTCTGCTCTGATGAACACACACTGGAACAAACTCATCTAATCAAGCACTGATTTCTGCTCCTGCAAAGACAAATCACGATGCTAAAGCAGAGCTAAAAGACAAGAGGCGATACAGCAGACAAACTCCAGCTTTTGCTTTTACTGATGGCACAAGTATCACCCACTGACCTCCTCAGTAAGCTCAGCACTTCTGCCAGCAGCAGAGCACCAACTGGGTGCCTGTGTGCCTGTGCAAACATCCCAGTGCCACCACTGCCCCATGCTAACATCAGCTCCTACCACACTGTTTGTCATCTGCCTCCTGCCCACACCTCTTGCTCCTCAGCAGGAAATGGAGAATCTCTCATAAACATTCCCCCCAACAACCCCTTTTTCCCCCCTCCCCCCCCAAAGCATGCAGGAATTGAATATACGGGATCTTAATCACTGTTCACTGAAACAGGACAGGCATCCTAAAAGCTCTTTAGTGAGGGGTAGACAAAGGGGCAACCTCATTCCTATTGAAAAATCAGGCTAAAAACGGCGAATGATTACTTACAGAAAATACAACTATTCTCAGTACATGGAGGAATGTTTTTCTCCAACAGAAAAAATGAGAACAGCATTACCTATCAGCCAACTTCTATGCATTTTTGGATTCGGGTCCCCACAGAACATGGAGAAAGGTTGAAGAACAAAAGGAAGCAATAGCAACTCAACTTTGAGGCCATTTGAGTGCCTAAAGCTCAGTCTGCTGCAGAAGGGTAATTAAAGGGCTAATTTCCTATGGATTTAATCACAGCCCAGCCTCACACAGTTGCTCTGAGGACACTCAAGCACGGCTTAAGCCTGAGAACAGCTCTCAAAGACACAGCTGAAACCCTGAGAGATGCTGCACTGAGGCTGTCTTTGAGGATCCTTACACTGGTTTCCCAGTTGCAGCCTTCTGTCTTAGGCCAACTGCCCTTTGCAGATGCAAGCCCTTGGTGAAGGAAAGGGTACATTTAGGACAAATGGATTATTTAAGCCACTTTTAAAATCAATTTGAACGCGTTCCCAGAGCAGCTTTTATCCAGCTTTATTAAGGCAAAAAAAAAATCTGTTTGGTTATAATAAAGTGCAGGGAAATCAAGCACACGATGCTCACTGGAGTGAGACTTCTGGCACTGCAGTGCATGAGGGCCAGTCCTAATGCAATTATGGAAATAACAGCACTCCACATTACTGTGATTCTCATTATGGATAAACTGCTCATACTTCGCAGTCACAAGACTGGCAATCCAAGTTTAATTTTCAAGTTTAATGAACATTATTTACCAACTCCTGAACTGATGCTGACGAGCACTTTTCAGGTGGCAGGGTGCTATTAATTCCTGGCCCACGTGCCCTCCAAAGCATTTCAAGGTGCCTCCTGGTCCTGCTGCTGAAGGGTCAGAAGTCATTATCGCTTTCCTCCAGAGGCTCTGGCTTCTTTGCTCGGTGGCTGGATTTGCTCGGGGAGATTTCCATGCTGTCATCTTCCACATCCTCCTCCTCATCTTCGTCATCATCCAGGTCAATCTCACTATCCCCCGACTCCTCCTGCAGGAAAGCACACAGCGTTCACCACCACTTCAGCTCTCAGGTGTGAGGCATTTTGGGCAGCTCTGAAGCAATGGTGCTCCTGGCCAGCACTCAGCTGCTCCCTCCCAATCACACACCTGAGGGCTATGGGAAGGCCATACATCTGCACAGGTGCAGTTCCAGCTTTGTTTTATCCCAGGTAGCAGCAGCAGGCTCTTCCAAACCAATGGAAGCCCACAGCTCAGCACCTCTGGGAGCAGAACGCGCTCCCATCAGCAGCTCCCAGCACTTCACTCAACATGGGCTGCTCCACTCAATTCACAGCAAACACCCTTCCTGACTTCTGCTGAATCTGCCATATCAAAAGCCTTGCAGAACTTCAAAGCCATACCTACTGTGAGGCCAAAGAACCAATGCCTAGTGGAAGAGAAATTGCAGGAGAGGAACCCACCTGTGCCTTGGTGACGGTCCTGTGCTTGCCTGGCTGGGCTGGGGCAGCTCCCCCCTTGGACAACCAGAGTGGGAAGAACAGGAGAGGCAGAGCAGGAAAAAAAACATGAAAAAATACAAGAACATAAAAGAGAAAAGAAAAAAAAAGGAAGTAACCAGAATGGGAGCAGGAGGGAAGGAGGCAAAAGATTACAATGGAAATGGGGGAAATTGAGGCTGAACTGTCGAGCACAGGCAGGTGCCCAGAGAGCTGCTCACCATATGGTAACCCTGTCTGAAACATTCTTGATACGTGGGGCTGTGCTGATGGAGACATGGGAAGGGACTAGGAACAGTGTGTGGTAAAAAGGGCGAATGGAAAGGGTGGAGAAGTTACAAAGCTGGCAAGGACATGGTCAAGGACTGTTGGGCAGTGCTGTGACTCAGGGTGCACTGTCTTCACCTGCAGCACTGATGCCAAAGGCATAAAGCACTACCCACAAGGCAGTGTCTGGCCTTAGCTCGATCCGTTCTGGCAGAAGCAAACAGCAGAGCGTGGTCTGTAAGCTCATTTCCTGAGAAAAGGCGAGGATGGACAGAATGAGAGGCAGAGCTGAGAGGATCAACGTGGTCCAGCAGTGCAGGGACGGCTGAACTCTGAGCACACCCTCCTTGTTGGCAGGCAGTGCTGCCTGGGATGTCAGGCAGAAGGGCTCCGTACGAGCTGTACTGGCTCAAACATGAGCTCACAATCATCATGTTTTTTAAGTGTTTGTACCACTTCCTAACACAGGTTGGGCTGTGCCAGCTAGCATTTTCTCAAACATCACCTGGGATCAGGACATCCCCACAGATCCTGGCTGTCAGCTTAGATACAGGCACCTTTTTGGGATAGAGAGCTTGTTGCATGGCTGCAAGCCATATCAGAACAGTTGGCTTTGAGGCCAAAGGCTGTTTTATCTTCTAGTACAGGTGTAGCCACTTAAGAGTGCCCAGAGGCATAAAAAAGTCACTCATACACCAGAGGCTAAGCACAGCAGTAACAACAGTGCCTGCTCTACAAACCTAGTTGCCATCTGCTCATCAGGTCAGCTTTACCCAGATGCAAAGCTTTGACACAGCTGTATCTGTGAGGCAGGGAGTCCAGGGCTCCAGCTCACACTTCAGCTCTCATCCCTGTCCCATCAGCTGCAGCACTGGTGCTTGAGATGCTGTATGTTAGCACAGCTCAGTGAGAGGGCTCCAAGAGGTACAATTTCAGAGTAAATCATGGGATTCACACCAACACATACAACTCCTGCTACACTGCACTGATCCCCTCCCCTCCTATTAATCTGCTCAGCAAAGCAGCATCCCTGTAGCCTGTGTGACACGACTTACACACTGCAGGCTGAGGTTAAAGCACAGGGCAATGTGCAGAGACCTGAAGAGCAAAAGAACAATGGAAAAGTGTGTGCTGAAAAGGAGAGAGGCCAACTGAAGAAGCGGAAATGTGAGCCCATGGCACAGAGTGAACAGGTAAGAATCTGTGTCTCCAGCTGAGGAGAGGGCAGGTGTTCTAAAGCACTGTCAGAGGAGCTCTGCAAGCACACGGGATTGGTTACTTACATCTTCCTCTGTGTCTCCACCCTGCATTGTTCCCACGATCCGGGCACCAGCTCTTCCTGCAGAGCAAAGAGAATCATTGTGAAGACCAGAAAATGAAAGATGAAGGTCGGGGTTTCCTTTCAGAGCCCAACCAAATGGCAGTGAGAGGATGAAGTCCCAGTGCATGTGAGGCCACTGCCTGCTAACCCAGGAGAAGGTGGGGAGGGTAAGGCTGACAGTACTGTATTGCTAGAGCTACCTTGTGCAGCTGTGACAGTCCTGTAAGCCAAAGCACATAGCAGGTTGAAGAGATTCATATCTTAAGATTCAATGCACAAGGAACTCCACAGCAATTTTTGACCACTGCTTATACCTTTAGGCAAGGCTCCCCCATCACACAGCTCCATCTATTTGGCTTACTGGAAATTTGGCTAAGAGATTATATGATACACAGATATTCCTCATCAGAAGAACATCCTACGGTGTGCAAGATCTCAAATTGCTAGCAGAAGGATGTAAGAGCTGGAGGTTAGAAAGTGAAGTCAAATGAAACCCCATCAGAAATACAGCAGTGATTTCTCACTTCAATCAATCAGAACAAAAGAGGGACACTTTCTTGTCTTCAAACCCAAACAACCTGACTGGATGTGCTCCTGGGCAGGCTGCTTGAGCTCATGCTGTTTGAGTAGAGGGAGGTCAGACTAAAGGCTCTCCAAAGGTCCCTGCCAACCCAAATGATTCTGGCATTATCCTCTGCTTTAGTGTACAGAGAACTAATGCCTGGCTTTTGCCCCTGGTAAGCCCTCCTATGCTCAGATCTTTTCTGATATTCCACCAGGGACTGACATCTCAAAGGAATCCTAGGCAGCACCAAGGCAAACCTCATGAATCTCTTGCTGAGAGTACAACGTGCAGGTCTGAAGGGGCAGTTGGTTGTAGGGAGTTCTCTGAAAAGGGCTAACGTGCTCAAGCCTTCCTTAAGTGCTTTGGGATATGTAAAGGCCTTATGAAATGGTGAAGATGCCAGCATGGTTGTCCTTGCCAGGAAGGGAAGCTGGAAGGGGTGCAGCAGAGCTGTGATGGGGAGTTCCCCATGGGGCCGGCTCAGCCTCGCTTCCTGCAGCCATGGCAGTCACTAACTGGATGCCTATGGAACAACACTGCTGTCACCACTGCTGTCACCACTGCATCTCCTCATCCATTTATCACCCCCATCACCAGTTTTCTCTGTGTCAGACAGATATAGATTTTTCACATCTATACAATATATACTTTTTTTTTTTTAGCATGGGAATAAAACAACATAAAATACATCCTGTCCAACCTCCTTTGTAGCTCTCAGATGAGACAGGACACATTGCCCCCTTTGTAGGTTGATTTGGGTTAGCTGTAGAAAACTGCTGCCTACCTCACCCAAAAACAGCCCTGCTGTGTCAAGACAGGTAACTTACAGGATCTCATGCCTTTAAATAAGTGGAGCCCTCTGTCGATCCAACTGCTGACAACACAGGCAGTGGAGAAGGAATATACAACGATTCCTGGACAGAGGAGCTCTCTTCAAGCTTTAGAGACATTTGCTCTGATAAATGCTAACCTGTAAGTTCAGAGACAGTTATAGCAGACATCATTAGAGGACAACAGAGTAGCTTTTTTACTCAGCATTCAGGCTGGTCCAAGAGTTTAACTGCTATGCAGAAAGCTCACAGCATGAAGTTCTGGACAGGGAATGCTTACCTCAAGGAGAAAGTAGCAGGGAGCTTGTGCAAGGTGCTGATAAAACACAGCAGAGAGAGGCCCTGAATATAAAGAGAACCAGGGCATCACGTGAGGAGAGCCACACGCTGCTGCCTGAACAGGAGAGAGGGCAGATTTCCTATGTCACAGGAAGAGCTGTGACCAAGGTGGGAGCCTTGTTTGAGCTTTCAGACACCAAACTCCACACCTGTGTGTGTGGAAGCATGAAGCAACAGACGGCCACAGTGCACAGCCCCGTGTGCTGGAGGGGAGGAAGGAACAGCAGCATGTCTGCCTGCCCCAGGCAGAGCTGGCAGCCACGGGGCTGTTTGGCTCTTGAAATGTGCAGGGCTCTGTTTAGCTGGGCTCAGCTTGCTGTGGCATTAGTGCTGCACCGCTCTGGCCAGAGGCTCATGCAGCTTCCAGGCAGGTGAAAGCCTCTTATGTTGGCTTACAGACAATGTGAATTCAGCTGGGACAGGCTGTACAAAGAGATAATTAGGTAAAATGCTCATAATGAACAGACTGTAATTCACTGCACCTTTGGATTCAAATCCAATCACAGTACAACAGGCACTGAGCTATCAAGGATCAGAAGTGAACGTGCACCCACGATTTTAAGCCTTCTGCCACTCTTCCTCTGCATGTGATGCTTACCACTGCACTACCTGGGCAGCTGCCTACAATGGATCCACAGCACTGGAATGATTTATGTCTTCTTACCCAGTGGTTGGTACGTGTTAACCCTGTGCCTGGCAAGGAACTTAACCTGAGAGGTTTGGAAACCTACCATGAGGGGAAGGCAGATTTACAGCTGAAACTTTCACCTCCACTTTGGAGATCTGCTTCCCACTCTTAATGCAGATTTCTACTGTGAGCTCCCTTCCCTCTAGCTCCCAGCTTCACCAAGAAAATCAGGATAAGTCTTTCACCTGACCTTTCTGATCCATGCACCCTCTGGGAACTGCCCTCCTATGCGTGAATGTAGCCCTCAGCAGCAGCATTTTCCAAGCATTGCTAAAGTACAGTGATGAATGAAGCACACTACAGCTGCTGTAGGATGAGTGTATTTCTATTTCTTACACCCTCCATGAAAAGGAAATCAGCTTCGAAGGGAATCACCTGCCTCAACCCCATTATTTCAGCCCTACAACCCCTCCTCCTTCTCCTCTAGGCCCAGTGTTGCAGTGGCCATAATAGTGCTGAAAGCATACAGACACACCTCCTCCATCCCAGCAAGCACATAGGTTTGATGACACAAAGCACACGGCCAAAGACATCTCTGCTGGGAGATGATGATGATAATGGGAGCGACTGACACTTCAAGTTACGACAAATTCAGTTCCATGAATTCCAAACTGAAGCCCCTTTTCAGTGGTGCCCAAAACACTTGGCTGTTCCACTTTCTTCAGCTGCACAAGCCTATCCAGCAGCTGCCACATCAGCAAACAAACACTTTGCAGACCCTTACCTGGATGATAGGAACTACAGAGGTCTGCACAGAAATGCATTAAGATGAGAAGAGCTGCTGTGTTGGTGTTCTTCCTTCCCAGACGAGTTTCCTCAGAGCACTGCAGTCAGATCCCCTGGCTCCTGAAACAGTGCTGACAGTTCTGCCTCCTCTTTGACCTGATGAAGCCCCAGTAAGAGTCAGTCACACTTTGTGATGTTCCCAAGGACAGAATTTGTTGATACCCTCATTGCTGCTCCTGAACATGCTGACTGGGAGGAATTATGGGAACAGTGAAAGAGGAAACGGCATCCTGCAGCAAGCTGCATGCCAGCAAGAGGCAGCTCTCCCTGTATGGAAGGGGCTGAGAGATCAGGGCTGGAATCACACGTGTCTACAATGCCTGGACAACTGCAGTGGGCTACAGCACATTTTTCCCAACAGAATTCCTTTCCACTAAAGCCAAGAACACAACACATTGAGAAAACCTGCAGAACTGTTGACCATCTCTTGTTTGTAAAGATAAATGCACGCGTATATTGATTTTGGACTTAAAACTGTGATTTCCTTTAGGAACTGAGAGAAGGAAGGAAATACAACTAAGATTTAATGTATGTTTTTTCAAAGAAGTGACATCCACAGGAACCGAATGTGGAAAGGCACCAACCAAGTAAGGAGCAGGCAGCTCTTGCACATTTGTGACTGAAACCATCAGTCCTCCTCCACACCAACTGCATGCCCCTAGCTTCTGTGCACTGGAGGAGGCTGGGGGGAAGTAAAGAGCTCTAGAAATTCAGCGGCAGAAGCCTGAACATAGTTATGAGCTGGGGAGAGAACTGCCACAAGTCTGACCACTTCCACTGAGAACAGATCAGGACTTTGTGAGCTGAGGAGGCATTTGGAGCAGGACTGTGCAGACTCTCCAGGGAGGATTTCTTGCTGCTTTGTCAAAGTTCCCATTTCCTCTGAAAAACGTGAGGGCAAATTCATCCCCTGCGGCCTTCACCCAGCACACAGTCTATCTTTGGTTCTAGCCCTCTCTCTGCAGCCAGCTCCTACTTAATCATCACCAAGAGAACCTTAAGAAGTAGGACAGGGAAGCTAAAACACTGTCTGCCACAGAGGCAGCATGCTTCAGACGTGTTGCTCTGCACACACCGCCTCTCTGAGATCCATCTCTCCAGGTCTGGAAAGCCCCACAGGCACGGAGCAGCTGGCAATGGCAAGCCCATGTCTGTGGGCCACTCTCCCTGCCCATCCCCAGATGCATCTCTGTTTCGACTGCTGTATATTTGCTTCCACTCCTTCCAATGAGGTGCACCTGGCTTTCTTAAAAAAAAAAAAAAATCCTCTCTTCTCTGCAGCCTCCTGACACATTTGTTCTCAGTGCATTAAACACTGCAGGTTTTCACAGGCTTTTATCTGTTCACTCGCAAGCAGGCTCGCTAATAACCTGCCTGCAGCTCTTCATTATCGCACTGATCCTCTGATCACTCCTGTGAAGGTAAGAAGCCCTCCCTGTTTGAGGGCAGATGATTTGCAGAGCAACATTCAGCACTTGATAAAGCTGTTTTCTTCCAAGAAAGATCAAAGAGAGCTGAAGCTCCCAGAAACAGAACGGTCTCCGTTGCCCTAACATGACAATACTGCTCCTCAGAACTGACACCACAAAGGGAAACAACATTTGGATGAGTGATCTGTGGGAGCTGAAGACCCTGGCAGCATGGAGGATGCTGTAGATAGGCACAGCACTAATCCCTCCTCTTCCATTCAGTAACACTTCCAGTGCCTACCTCGTTCCAAGCTCAGAGTGTGTGCCAGTGCTGTCTCTGGCTCATGGTTCCACACTGTGCTTCAGACCTCCAGATGAATGAGACTGAAAAGATGGATCTGCATATGTAATTGCAACATCACTGTAAAACCCACTTTAATTCAAGGGGAGATTGGATAGGCTCTTAGAAAAACCCAGCATGGTAGTTTCTACATCCCCAGGACAAGGCTCTGCATTTGTCTCCCAGGCACCTGTACCATCTGCATGTGAACAACCATGCTGCTCCAAAGCACTGGCCTATGCCTTGCTTCAGGGAAGAGGCTTGTCTGCATTGCAGATGGTTAAGATCTTGTTACACTGCAAAATCCCTTTTTCCCTGGCTTCCTGACAAAACAGAGTCTTATTCCAAACACCAGCACTAACTCACAGTTTGACCTCAGAAGCTCAAGCACCTGCAATTTTGCTTGTGTTACAGCCTCACTTATCTACAGCCAGACAGAATAACTGGATGCAAATTTTTATTCACATTTACTGTACTCCAATTAAAAGATGCAGATGACAAATCAACACACTCTTTTACTTATTAAAGCAAACAATTAGAACACATGGATTTATTCAGGAAGTCGCAACAAGGAGACTTGCCTGTAAATGTGTACCAGGTTGGATATGAGGAAGCACTTCTCAGAAAGAGTGTGGGGTGCTGGCACTGCTGCCCAGGGGGTGGGGGAGTCACCTGGAGGTGCTGAAGAGCCGCAGGGATGTGGCACTGAGGAGTGGTCAGTGGGCACATGGGGTGTGCTGATGGCTGGATGTGATGATCCTTGTGGTCTTTTCCAACCTTAACGATTCTGGCTGTATGAAAACAAGCTGTCCAGCACCTCCCACTTTGGTGACTCTCTTCCCAGCCCTTTGCTGTCACTCACATGCTTGTTATCTCCTTGTACAGAAGCCTTCCTGGCTTCCTAAAGCTGGACTTGCTGCACTGGAGAATCAGTGTAAAAATTTAAATTCAGTGGAGACGAAGGCTCCATAGCCCATTTCAACTCCCTGCCTAACCAGTCTGCTCCTCTTTGTACATGGGAAATAAAGGTTTGATTTTCTCTGTGTACCACAAGAGCTGGCAGCCTGTCACGTCTCCTCCTCATGCTCTTTTCTGCTCCATGGGAGACTAAATCCTATACCTTCAAGTCTTTCAATTGGCAAAAGAATAAAACCAGGAGCAATACTGTCAGAGCTGCATTTAGTTTGAATGTGACTGCATTTAGACAGCCCTGCTGAAAGGACTTGAGAGAGAAACTATGTTGACTTTTCCTCAATTATACCAAGTGGCCTAATGAGAGTGATTATCTCTCCCTATGAATCTTGCTCCTCTAATGGTGAAACACATTGGAATACCTGCCCTCTTATTACAGTGGGAGGAAGTCTTCTCTAAGAGTACCTAATAACCTGCTAATTAGAGATATAAAACTGAATCACATCACAGGAACTGACCACAGCAGTCTGTTTCTTCCCAGCAAGAGAACAAAGTGATGCTTCTGAGCTGTATAACAAGACAATCCTTCAAAAGAAGCAATTGGAATCTCTCGAGTTTAAGCAAAGAGAAAAAGTGGTGATTAATAAAAATAGTGTTTTTATTATGCTGCCTTAAATGCATTTTAAATGGAAACTACCTGTGCTGAAGGACACGTACAGACTGTGTGTTTAACAACAAATGTTCAGGCTCTATTTGCCAAAGAAGCTGAAGCACCTTGACATTAATCTCACGTTCTCACATTGTCTCCAGCACTTCAGTTTTGTGACCCACTTTGTGAGGGTCACAGTCAAACACAGCACCTCACTGCTGAGGAAGGACCAGAAGAACCCATTTACACAGAAAGAAGCAGATGGGAGCCTGTACCTAAGGCTGGAGCTGCTTGTCTGGATCAGGCTGGTGCTCTGGAAGGAAAGCTTTGACTCAACAAGGCAGAAAAGCAAGCTGATAATGCTTCCTTTAAGTCTAACTATGTTTGCATCCACCCCTGCCAGTACAGACTGTGCTGGAGCACAGCAGGACTGAAATGCAGTGAGTTAAAATGAGAGAATGCAGCCTTTCTCCTCCTGGGTTAACTGTGCAGAAGGCATCTCAGAAGCCAGAAGCTCATCTGGAGCTGGTTCATAGAAGGTGAGAAGCAAAAAGAGGACAGAACCAAGGGATACTTCCAAATTACACAAAGATACAGTGAGCAAAGATCAGCATGGCCACCAAGTAGTTAGCAAGCTGCAAACTGAGAACGTGCAAAAGCCAGAGGATAATCACGTGGCAGAAGCAGCTTATAGAAGATCAGGAAGAGACCCACAGAAGCTGCAGCCAGCATCTGGTTGCTCTGTTGGAATGCCTGCTCAGGAGAGGCATCACAGGCAGCTACAGCCAGCCCTAAAAACAGCATACAGACTTTTCTTTGAGAAACTGTAAAAGCTGTTCACCCATACGAGGGCTTCTGGCACTTTTTAAGAATTTTCAATTGTTATGAGAAGCAGAAATGTGGATAAAAGTGCTTGAATTGTATTGATTTGGGAATTTCAGGTTCCTGCTCTGGTCTCAATAAGAAAGAGGAGAGCAGAAAGCACATCTGCAGCCTATCCAAGCACCAAGTTCTAGCAGAAGTAGTGGCACATGAAATTACCCACACTGGCGCTTCATCCAGAGCCCAGAGAGGCTTTTGCTGATGCTCAGAATCATTCACAGCCAACAAGAGCACCACTACAAAATAACCTAATTTTCTGGTTTCTCTTTCCCCATATAAGTGCAAGACAGACCCTCAGACTGCTATTTTTCTGAGTTGCTCCTGATCTGGGCTCTGTGGGAATCAGCAGCCAGAGGCTGAAGTTCCACTGTGCACAATAGCAACACAAGTCAGATGTCCTTCCCTGGCAGAAGTAACTCAGGTGTGCTGTGCCCACGGCTGTCAGTGCAGGAGGCTTTACAGACTCACTAAAGGCCTCATTTTGAAGATGACCCTGCCATAGATAACGTCTACACCTGGAGGGAAACGAATGCTTTGCCATGAGAAATATTAATACCTTGCTAAGGCTTTGTGCAAAGCTACTTCTGAACCTGGAAGGCAATACCAAGGAAGGATTATTCTCCCTTTTTTTATTTCCTTCAGTAAAGCCTCCTTAATTTGCTCCCTGAAAGTACTACATTTTCTCCACACGACACTGACCACTTACAGCACACAAAAACAGAGCAGTGCCAATGCCCTTGAACGATAACTGTCTTTTATATCTAAGGTTACTCAGATACTTTGAGCAAGTCCTTCTGAATAAAGGCAGGGAAGGAGAGGAGGAAGTACCTGGCACTAGCATCTCCAAGGCCATGTGCTGCTTCCTGAGCTGCCTGTTCTCCACTTCACTGTCAGAGCCTTCATTATCCTGGATCTCCACGTCAGAATCATCATTACCTGGTTAAAACAAAAGCAGGATACACATCGTTCAAAGCAATCCACAACAGCCCAGAATTGCAGCTGCATACCAGAGGTGCTAGCACTCAGTTTGTTCAGAGCACAGCTCTGCTGACACATGCAGGGGAACAGCCAGCTTCCACATCCTCACTAAGGAAGATATCTTCATACAGAAGTGCCAAAGAAGTTGAGATGAACAGAGTGTACAGTATTAACAACTGTCTTGAGACCATCCTCAGATCATACCAGAGGCAATGTTCTCAACACACTTTGAGAGTATGAGCCATACATACAGTCAGGAGGAGATACTGCAGAAGCTGAGTTTCTGAATGAAAGTCTTCTAAAAGCTTTTGGAACTTACTGATACATCTCCTATTGTTTCAGCCTGCCATTAGCAATACCAAAAAGGTCTCCTTGGACTCTTTGCCTTTCACTTAACCATAGGTTAGAAACACACAGGGGTGATGCTCCAGTAAGAAGTGCTCTGCAGGGCCTCAAGGGATCCGTGGTGCTGTGACAAAGCCAGCAGGACTGGGTGTGAAGTCAGCACTCCAAAAGTTGCTCACTGTTTACAGAACACAAATCTTTCCTAAGTACACCCAATTACATGTCTGAGCTGAAAATGGAAATAACTAATTGTGATCAGCGATGGGCTGGTACATCCTTGCGACACTTAATTATCAGGCAATACACAAATATCATACATTTTTCCTTTTTTTTTTTTTTCATTGCAGTATTAAATTAATGACAAAATATAGCAAGAGATAATATTTGATACCCTGGTACAATTTCAAGGCTCCAACAGCACTAGCTACAATTTCTGTTTGCATTGCACTCTCTTCTTTGGCAGGTGATCGAATCACTGTGTGACCTGAATGCTGCTTCTGCTTGCTGGTATTCAGGAAAGCCAGGTTTTGTTCAGGCAACCCCCATGGGAAGACCCACACGTGGCCTAAAGAAAGGATTCAGGGCCACGTCCTGTGCAGACCTTCATCAGCACTATGACTGACACACTCTCCCTTCTTTTGGGCTTCTTTTAACCCCTTTCTCCAGATTATATCACATCTGCTCCTCCTGTTTCTCAGCCCTACCGCCCAGAGCAGAGGATGCTGCCTGGGGCCCTATGACTGCTGTACCCATTGCAGAGCCCCATTAGCACTTCTTCCTTCTCACCTGGCTCTCCCCAGTTGCCAGCTGAGCGTGGGCTAATGGAGCTGCTGCTGTCTGGCAGCAACCGAAGTGACAATGCAGTGAGCAGCCTCTGGGGACAGGACCTGGAGCCCTTGCCCTGCAGAGGCACCACGATGCTGTTCTGCACTGGGTGAGGCACAGCTCAACCAACCCTTTGATTTTCCATCATGTTTTTCAGGAAACTGATTTTGTAACCATTTATGGCAAACAGCTCTCAGAGAAAACATGCAAGACATACTTCCCTTCAGACAAGGGTAAGATGACAAGGACAGGAATGGATCTGCCATCACCCCTTTGCCGTACGCAGAAGAGTTCTCTCTCACTCTGCTGTGTCATTTCTCACCCAGCTCAGATTGCAAAAAGGAAGCTCTGCTCATTATGTAATTCCTCACAGTGCCTTTCCATTGGAAAGCAGGCCCAGCAGTGAGATCCCATGGTGAGCAGCGCTTTGAGATGGAAGTGGTACCTACTGCAAAGACAGAATCGATGGCCAGAGGGCCTCAAGCTGCTGCTTTATGAAAGGAAATGGCTTCAGCACAGCTTTTTTTCCCCACAACCAATCTTTTCTTCTTTCACTCGGTTTCTCTGCCCCTCTGAAGCCCCCTTCTTACCCTACTGCTTTTATCCTTTTCCTCTGCTGCCTCGGATGCTTTAACTCCCCTCAGCCAGCAATCAGGCTGCAGCTCTCTGCATTCAGCCCACGTTTAGGAAGCAGAGGACTGCTGGCAGCCCCCAGAAGCATGCTGGTGCCTCAGCTCCAGCACTCAGCTCTCCCAGTGTGCATACCAGGTCACATTAACACCTGCTTTCACTCACACGCTTTGCAAATCCTTCATTACTTCGCAGTAAAAATGAAGAGAAGGGTCACCAGGTGAACTATCAGTGTGTAAACGCAGCGCACCATATTTGCAGCTGTGCTGGGACTTGGGAACAAATCTTGTTATGGAGCTTAAGAGTTGGGGCTCTCTGAGCAGCCTTGAACTGCGCAGCACAGAGCATAACATGGAGCTTCACCATGCTGCTATAGTGAAGGTGGGCTGCAGGAACAGAGAAGCCAGAACTGCAAAGGCAAATCCAGCAACAGCCTGTGACCCTGAGCCTCCTCTGCCCACACCTGGACAGACAGAGAGAACCTCTCACTGCAACAAAACCAATGCATTGCTCTAACCTGGTGCTTTGTGACAGTTGGCTCCGGGTCCCAGCACCCAGTCCAGCTCTGCCTGGGGTGCAGCAGGGCACAACAGGACCAGGCCACATCACCAGGGACACAGAAGCAGAGAACATAACTAAAAACGTATTTAAATACACAGGATGAAAACAAGCTGAGCCCAGGCTTCCTAATGGGCTGAAACAGCAGGTTGATCCAATGCTCTGAATAACCTATCCTACATACAGCAGTATAGGATTCCCTCCCCCCATCGTCCTCATTGTATTTGCCCAGTATGTTCTGTTTGCACCAAAATATGCTGGAGTCAAAGAAAAAAAAAAAAAAAAAAGAAAGATAGAAAAAAAGGGACCATTTAGAACATTTCACTTCATAATGTACAGGAAAAAACAACCTGCTGCTTCAGGAGAGGTGACAACCCCTGTGCAACACTGAGCAATAGAAAGGAAGACAAGGAATGTTCCTCATGGAGAAAATGCAGATTCCTCAGCACCACTATAAAGACAGAGGATAATAAAGCACAGGACTTGCAGTTCCCACACACTAGTACATGATGTGCAGAACATGTTCTAAGGTAGCTGGATTATGAGATTTGCATGGCTGTATGTGAAGATTGTTTGACTTTCAGCAATACACTGTAACCCAGCAATCCACGTGCCCAAATTCAGGCCAATGCTGGCAGCTTACTAAAGCTTTAGCTTGGTGCTTTAACAAGCTCCTGTATTTTGCTATGAAAGGACAATCCAAAGAAACGCCCCACAAACTGCATTTGGCCCAGTTCCCCACTGCAGGGACCTCTCTACTGCACAGAGCACATCGGTAGAATATCTGACTACCCAAGAGAGAACACACTGCGACCTTAAACTCCTCTTGCCTTAGATTTCAGCATTTTCACATCATAAAGGTGGCTTTTAGTCAACTAAATTTCACAGAATCACAAAATGGTTTGGGTTGGAAGGGACCTTTAAGATCACCTCCAACCCCTGCTGTAGGCAGGAACACCTCCCTCTGCACCAGGCTAACAGAAAGCACATCCTGTCACAGCTGAGAGGCACGAATCTCAGAAGATGCCTTTTGTTTCAAAGCACACCTACTGTGTTCAGAACAGCCCACGGCAGATACATGGACTGATCATATGAGTTTTAAATGATTAAATGTAACACGCAAAGTCATTTGATCCTTACAGAAATACATTTAATAAATAACATGAAGCTTTAGATCAGGGGAAAGAAAAAAAGAAAAGAAATGGATTCAGGGTTTACTGCGACCCAAAGAGGAGCGATGTGCTGTTCCCACCTGAACACTTCAGTTCACCAAAGCCACGTTCACATCTCACCATACCCAGAGAAGTCAGCTGCGACTGCCAGCCTGAACGCTCACACATCTGCAGTTCAAAGAGAAAGTGCAATGCTACAATGTGATAGACAGCACAGCAGTGACAGTGGGGTAGCAAAGTCAGAGGCTGCAACAAATGAGGATAGGCTAAAATGCAGCATCTGTGAGCACAAAAACAAAGAAAAGAGTCCAGTCACCTTTGAAAGGCCTCAGGTAGGCAGGGATCTCCAGCAAATACCCTCACCTCCACTGCCAACCCTTAAATGAGGGCTGAGAAGGGGTGGATCCTGGCCCCAGCCCTTCCAGTCACTCAATACACTGCATGGACCTGAGCTCCCCTGGGCTGGCCCTGCCTTCCCACAGGTGCTCAATCACTGCTTTAAGTCCTGACTTAGCATTTCTGCTACAGAAAGCAATGCTTTGATATACACATTTCAGTAGGGAACTTCTTTTGTCCTTAGCACAAAATGCTCATCTCTGAGAAGTCACCTTGCTGGTGGCAGGACTGATTGAGGTTCTCCTACCAACTTCAGCAGTAAGGGTGCATGTTCAGACCTTAAGGCATGAAAATTGAGTACAGCATCCCAGCAAATACCCAGCAGTGGGATGCACAGTTAGCTCCAAGTGCCCTTTCTTACATCTCTATTATTTTAAAATGGCTTATTGCTACTGAGCCCAATCTCACATTTTAAACAGCACAGATAGCTATACCACTGCTAAGGGGAGCAATAGGTCTCTGTCACCTGAAATCACTGAACACAATCCCCTGTTCAACCTAAAATCACTGAAAACAATTCCCATTCAACCTGGGATTTGGAGTCTTGGCACAGGAACAAGGAGCTAAGATCATTTTTGACCAGTTTTACAGAGGGGTCATATTCAGTCACCATAACAGTTTCTAACAATCTCAAAGGCCAAGAACCCCTCAGAGCGCCATTAAATTAAACGTGAATTTGCAATTATTTTATGAGCAAGAGGCAAGATAGCTGTGCACCAATTGCAGTCTTCCCTTAGGAGATGCATGTTTTTAGTACTTGGCAACTCACTGCTCTGCTACAGGGTGAAGAGCACTCCATGTTCAACAGCCATCAGTTTTTAAGGCATCACTTCTGGAGTGGAAAGACTACAAGGGATTCAGTGCATCACCACATTGCAACAGTGCCATGTGATCTGCTACCCAAAGCCTAGCAGCTATTTGCTCCGTTCCACTGAGTAAGATGATAGGATCCAGGCACACACTGCTTGCTTGTCAAAAAACAGTTTGCTTGGCAAGTAGAACAGGGAAGGAAGCACACTGGCACAGGTTGCCCAAGGAGGCTGTGGATGCCCCATCCCTGCAGGCATTCAAGGCCAGGCTGGATGTGGCTCTGGGCAGCCTGGGCTGCTGGTTGGCGACCTGCACACAGCAGGGGTTGGAGCTGGATGAGTGTTGTGCTCCTTTGCAGCCCAGGTCATTCTATGATTCTATGGCATGATTCTAAGACTATTCTGAAGAAATGTATTTCAGCCTAGAACAAGGTTTTTTTGCTCAGCAAACATTGGGGTTTTTTCAGCCTAAGGTGAATATGAAAGAAAGTATACTGACTGTGTGCTGCAGCCTGTGGCCTTCCTGGTCCCTCTCCTCTCACATCACACCATTAGCACAGCAACACTTCACATCTCTACACCTGCTCGACCAACAGTTTTTGCACTGTCTCATCTATTCCCAGAGTCCCTGCTCCTCCAGCCATGGTGACACCAGGCCCCAAGGCTCAGGCATTGGCAAAACACATTGCTGTACTGCTGCAACTGCTTCACTGCACAGATTTCCATCAGCAAATGCTGCTCAAAGCTGCATCTGTATCTGGAGTTCAGCATCTCCATCTAAGCTTTTTTCCATGTAACTTAGTGCTTTTCTGTATTTTTTTTTGTTTTACAAAGATGCCCAGTGACAAATGAAAGACAATTTACCATGCGTGCTAAAAAAGCAGAAAAAAGAGACTGTTCCTGAGCCGTGCCAAACACTGCTGCAAATCTTATTCAAGTATCCCAACACGTCCATAGCCCTTCTAATACAACTCAGCCGACCTTGCACAGCTCTTCCTTGCATTAAATATCATGCAGGTTTCTCTGGTGTTAGCTGAGGCTGAATGTAAGCTGAGGGCTGCCCAGAATTCCTGCAACTTGTTCCACAGAGAAAGGCGCTGTTAATTTGCAGCCCTTCTTGCCTAATTAGCAGCAGATAAGGTCAAAGGATTCAGACAATAAGAGGACTGTATTGATTACAGAGGTATGCAAAGGTGAGGGTGCTTACAGGGACAGAATGAACACTGACTTTTATCAGTTAATGGTGATAAATTTATCACCGGACTCCAGCCTATGCTGTTTGAAGGGCCTCATTAAGTGCTTTGCAGCTCGCAAGGGCAAAGTGTAATGAGATGAGGAGAACCTTCCCTTTCCCTTCCCCTCTGTGCACGAGAAGAAGGCACATGCCCCAAAAGTCTCACCACATAGGTGCACTAAGGTGTAAGTACTTCTGTTGTGCCTTGCACCGTGCTGCTCACAGCACTCACTGATAAAATCACTGATTCCTGGGAGCCCTGCACTGTAGAAACTTCAGCCCATGCAGTGCTCTCTATTTCAAGTGCAAATGTCCCAAGCAGCCTCTGAGGCACCAGAGATGCTGCACTCATTCTGCTGCTGTTTCTCTCTTTCCTCTCGTGTAAAATGTAGTTTTTCTTGTGACAAGGAGCTCAGGGTTCACTTCACTGAGATGGCACTGTGCCATTTAGGGTACTTACCTTTGCATGGCTTTCTCCAAACAAATCTCTTGGTTTTAAATTCTACACAGGACATCACTTTAACAGTGAGGAGAGTGGGGTTGGCCTTTGAGGAAGGCACGATTTGGTCCTGGTACTTCTATGTTAGCTAATGGGGATGTCAGCTAGTTTTACAGCATTCAATAAATTAACTTCGCAACATCCAGCAATGAAGCTGCATTCCAGGTTCACTGCTGGGAAAACAGCCAAATGCAAGGCCCCACTTACACCCTGCAGCTCCACAGGTAATAGCAGGCTGCATCTTAGGAAGATGACGACCTACTGAGCTGATGGGATAACAAATGAATGAGTCTGCACTGAAAACCAGGCTCCTGTCGCTCCTATCACTGGAAAAAACATTGCTTTTGTCCATACAGTACTCACATGAAGATATTAAGGCAATATTGGTATAGATCATTAGAAGTCATAAGCATGTTCTTAGGTACAGTCAGATAACTTGCTGAAGGATAAGGTTTGTATTATTTCAGAGATAAAAAATGACCAAAGAGTTTTCCAAGTGAAAATCCACTGACAAGGAAAAAGATTGGGAAAAGTTCACGTTCACAACGTTCACATTGCTAATTATTGATGATAAATGTTCTTCCCTCTTGAACTTGGAAACTGTCCCACAGCAGGACCTGGCTTTTTTCATTCAGGTAGATCCTGGAAACAACTCCACATTCTTGTAGTTTATATTATGAACCCTGTTTCAAACAAAACTCTCTTTTTACTGCACTGGCATAAGGAGATGAGATGAAAGACGGTCAGAGATGAACAAATTTCCTCTTCCACAAGCGTGCTCAGAACACATCTGCCCACAAACAAACTACAAAGCATAACTCTGATGTCCTTACCCAGTTTTAGCATAAGCTCTCTCTCTGATTCTGAGAATCAACCCTCCTCTTACTTTTTTCACTACAACATAAAAATGCACATGCTGCGATTTTCAATTCACAGGGGTAATTAATGGTGAACTCTGCTGATGCTTGACTTGGAAGAAGCAAAATCTGGTTTGTTAGCTCTCTGCAAAATCTCAGGAGGTTATTATTCCCTTCTGTTCTTCAGCTAGAACTCTAATTAATTAGAAGTAAGTTTAGAGAAAAAGGAAAACATCAGATTTTAATTGCATTCACAATTTGCAGGTACACTAAAACCAAAGAAATGGGAGCAGGCAGATGTGGCTCACACTTGGACGATTTGTAATGGCAGAGAGAATTACAAGCAGCTTTTTCACCTGTGAACATGATGTTCTGATAGATACATCACAAAGAATGACTCCGAACACAGCCAGCTCCACATCCAAGGTGGCAGAGGAACTTACACTCTGGTTTAGCAGGGCACACCAGCATGTGTCTACCACAGGGCAGCCAGGCAGTCCCACAGAGCAATGAGGCTGCCTGCCAACACCAGCATCTCAATGGGCACAATCCTCTGACCAAGGCTGTTAGCAATGCTTCTTCATTAGTTCTACTGTGCTGGCCTTCATCCACAGCCTGAGGGGCTCGGAGGATAGCAAGTAATAAAATGGAGCCTCTGCCTGCCTGCTGCAATTGCACAGCATGTGTAGGGAGGGACTGCTCTCACCTCTCAGCACTGCAGGCAGCACTTGCAAGGTGCAGCATCTTCAGCCCTGCACAGAAGTCAGGTTCCCTATTTCATGGCTGTCCTTTTATAGTTACTATCACTCCACTTTTTCTATTACACCTGTTGACTCTGTCATCCATCCCATGTCCCCATGCTTCAGGCTTGTTTGGGCATATTTATACATCAAGAACATAGCACATAATTTTTCTGCCAATGAACCTAGGGAAGAAATCCCACTTACTTCCACTCTTAAGCAGGCGTTGTTCCTCCTCCTTCAGCCTGTTCTGCATCAGACGCAGCATGTTTGCTGCTTCCTGGAACAGGTGAGAAGAACTGAATTAGAAAAGCTGCCCCTCATCCAGTCAAGTAGCTAATGGATGGCTCTACAGCAGCACTTAAGGGCTCTCACAGGCAACATGAAACAAGAAAATTTCATCATTGAAAATATTCTATGGACAAAAAATCTTGAAGTTTGGGAACTCCTACTTACTTTGCCCACGAGGTCAGGATATAAAGCACAAACCCACAAACAGTGCACTGAAAATCAACCACATGTTCCAACCAGGTGAAACTTCACTTATCACATTGAAAATGAGTTCACCCACCTTCATCCCAAAGAACATCACAACCATCACAGAACAAAGGGGACTCTCTTTGCAAAGTGGCCTTCGGTAGATTTTTTCAGCCAATATGCCAATAAGCAGCAGAAGTGGTTTGTGAAATGACTGCAGCTTTCTCATACACAAACCATAATGGAATCAATTCACCCGTTCCCATGTATGCAAACAAAATGGGAAGAAACAGCCCAACGAATGAGCTGAAGAAGTACACTAATAGGGGCACTGTGCTATTGTACAGAGTTGGGGTGCATAGGAGAGCCATGGCAGTAAGGCTCCATAAGGTGGTCTGCTGATTTCTAAATGTAGCAGGTTGTTAGGTAAAAATATGCTGAGGAACACTGTTGTAATGACAGTATGCTAAAGTTGTGACATTTAGTCTGCTAAGAGCAAATGGAAAAGGACAAATGGAACAGGGATTGCTGTGCTAAGGAGGAGAAGCAAATCGCCATTCACAAGCCTTCAAATGAATGACAGTGGTAAAAGAAAGTGTTACAAAAAGGCCTACAAGGACTTAAAAATCCTCAGTCCTGCAACTGATAAGAACTGTGATGGATCAGAAAGGCAGGAGTAGGCTGATGGGAGCAGGGCAGTGGTGGGTAGAATCATAGAATGTAAACCAGACACTTTCATTCTAGCATCGTGGATTGGTAAGAAAGCATGCCTGCCTCTGTAGGCAGTAACGGATGGCAGTGAGTTTCATCTTCTGGGATGAGCATCACAAGGTGGACTAAAGGTGAGAACGAGATGTGGGCAGCCAGGATCTGCAGCATGGGCCCTTCCCAGGAGCTCTCTCTGCAACACCATCCCCCAGTGTTTTCCTGCCAAGCCACCAGCTGGTAGTTTCTTTTTACACCTCTTCCTCCCTATCTGGTTTCTCCCATCACCCTTAAGGCTTAAAGATAATCAATGAAAGCGCAGAAAGTCTTGCACCCTGCCCCAGCAAACATTTCCAGCACAGCCCCCATGGCACCGTGCCTTTGGGAAGAAGGGTGCAGGCAAAGGAGCTGAGCAGCCTCAGTCTGACTCTGTGTGCTTGCACAGTACACATGGCAAAGAAAATCAAAGAGGGGTACCAAAAGTCAGGGCACATCCCAGATGCCATGGGGACAAATGCATAAAATTAGAAAACATCTTTAAAATAGACCTGTTCACGGACTAGGGAAATGATAAGAGCACATGCTCAACAGGAGTCGTTGCTCGGAGCCCTGACTCGCACAGTGCACAGCAGTGTGCTGCTGTGGTGGGCGAGGAGGGGGGTAGTGCATCCTTCAGCTCCAGCGCTGATTTGTGTGCTTAAAACAAGAGAAGTGGAGTGTCAGGAAATCTCTTAGCATGCAGCTGAGGCTTCTCCCCCCTCCTGCAGGTACCAGAAACACAGCTGACCTCGCAGCGAGCAGCTCAGAGCTCATTGGCAGAAAACACGTTGATTTTCTTCAGGCTTAGATCCCTGCACAGCGTGATGTGCGGTCCGATAAACACCACAGGGAGCTGCTGAGGCTGTATGCCACCATCCTGTCCAGAGCTGCTCTTCCAACACACGAAGCAACGTCACCCGAGGGATTCCAGCAGAGCAGCACCCTGCCCACTCGGTGCACAGTACGGGATGGCACAGTGACAGCGTGGGGTCTCTGGGGCACGGTGGCAGCAGCTGGGTGCGCAGAAGCAGGTGAGCAGCAGCCAGCATTGAAGCTCTGCTCAGTCTCTCTGGTAAACAAACGTGGCTGAAATGCTGCAGGCAAGTGCTGCACATAACCTACCCCACCAGCTAAATGTGTCCAAATTTAGAGGCAGCATATGCTACGGAATCATGGTGTCAAGTAAACACAATTAGCGTGGTGCCAATGAATGCAAAATCACAGCCAGTCTGCCCCCATCAGAACATGGCCCTGGGCCTTCCAGGACACCTGGGACTGAAAGTCCTGTCCTAAAGGCAGATGGATCTCTGCTGAGATGCAGCTCTTCTCTTCGACACGCAGCCCTCTCCAGATGTAGATCTACCCTTTACAGAGCAATCCTGTCAGTCACCTTGCAGGCTCAGTGCAGGCAGCCCAGCGCACTGCGTGGCCATGCAGGATGCTGACACAACAACCCAGGCTCCAGGGGATGTGAGGAAGCACCCACCCCAACCCCTGCTCCCAGCAGGATTGCAGCACAGTGTGTGCCCCAGCTCTTTGGGTGCTAACAGACTCCCAGGACAGAGACTGCTCAGTTTCCAGGCAGCCTGCTCAGTGCTGCTTGGCCAAAGGGGAAGTAATGACCTCCAGATCAAGTCAGAGCCATTTTGCACTGCTGATGACCTGTCCATGCCTTTAGCACACAAGGGTTCTGCTCAACTCCACCATAAATACACTGCCAGGCATCCTCAGCAGCCCTGTGGGACAGACAGAGCCCAGCCTGCAGCAAGATGCAAGAGAGAATCCTTCTGGTGACACAGGAGGCTTCCTAAGCAAATGAGCTCTGCCTGCATTTACAATGATCTATGCTTTTTTCATGCTCATCTCAAGACTGTCCAACTGAGCAAGAACGTTATTCATCTCCAGCACGACGGATGCACTTTTCCAAGACAGACGTGTGTTCTTGATAGAATGGGGCTTGAATGAGCACAATGCAGATGCTCCTTATCCTCATGTATTTTAACCAGCAAAGCAGACAACTTTTCCTCTCATATCTGGCTATGAAATTATTTGGAAAACAGCGATGAGACACAACATGTCTGCTTGGCAGTGCTTTTCTATAATCTAATCCACTGCCTTGCAGACAAGTGAAACTTCAGCTGCAAATTCCTGCAGCGGAGCAAATGGCTTTGAGAATCCTTTTCCAGAAACCTGCACAAAGCAGAGCCTGAGAAAGAATTTCTCTTTGACTGGCTTCTTATTTCATATGAATTCCTATTTCTTGAAGAGGGAGACCATTAAACACCATGTAATTAAAATCACTGGCAAAGTCCACACAGCTGAGTGCTGGATCTGGGCACCAGGAGGAGAGCGTTTTGCTTTTGTTTTGCTGCTGCTTGCTTTCAGACATCCAGACCCATTTGCCACCGCATTAGAGAATGGCCCCCAGCAGCTGACCCACACATCACAGCAGCTCTGCCATCCACTCACTCTGTGACTTAGGGAAGTGACCCACGACTTCCTGACGGCAGTCCTTTCTGACAGCACTAATGCTGCTGAGCGTTGTTCTAAGCAATAAAATCAAGTTGCTGAAATCATTCACTTGTAAGCAACTCTTACCCCTTCAGAATGAAGAAGCAGCAAATCTAAACAGGCTGGGGAGAAGAAAACCGGAATTGATGCACTGTTTGATCACTGAGGGCATCTCAGTATTTTCTTCTTAAGTTAACACCAAAATCGTACTGGGGAAGTTGTGGAGAAAATGCCAGCAGGATTTTGAATACAAAGGACACATTTCATGGTGCCAGCTGAGAGACAGCGTGGTTACCACTGAACGGAGACAAAGAGAAGAAATGAAGAACAGACCACAGGGAAAGTGAAACTGTGAAGGAACGCCAGGATGACTGGTGATGGCTGCTTTGCTTTTTGCTCAGATGCTAACATCTCAATTTTTGCCTGGGTTATTACTTCTGTTCTCAGCCATCCTCCAAACCTCAGAAATCTCTCTCAGCATCTTAGTAATGTTTCCTTCTGGTTTTCTTTTTTTTTTTTTTCCCCAGTGATTTGCTAGAGCATATTGGTAATCCTCCTGCTCTGTAGTGCACTCGAAGGGAACCAATTTGAGGATGGATTGAACGACTCATCTTCACCTTGCTATTAATCTCAGCAGCCGTTTCTGGCTTTGTTATAGAACAAAGCAGCTGAGATTAGCTCTCGCTGCATGCACACAATGGGATTTGTTTTTCATAATAGAGTGTTGCCACTCATTCAGTAGGGGTGAGATACAAGGACTTGGAAAAATTGCTGCCTGAAGAGAGAATGTGACAGTACTCCTAACGAGAGGAAGGCTGCTAGGTGCAGCAGTGAGTGGGGAACACGGTGCCATGGGCTGACTGCACAAGGTGCAGCCTGCCTGAGCTGCTCCTGAAGACTTGCAGACAGAGCTTCCTAACCTACTTTGAATCACCTCACCTCATATGAATGTCTGGCTTTGTGATTTCATTTGACTGCAACGCTTTGAAGTTTTTCCCCTTTCTTTGGAACAGGCTGCCCAGAGCTGTGGGTGACCCATCCCTGGAGGTGCCCCATTGATGGGATCCTGAGTGGCCTGAGCTGGTGTGGGACAGCCAGCCCATGGCACAGGTTGGAACTCGATGATCTTTAAGGTTCCTTTCAACCCAACCATTCTGTGATTTGATAATTACTATTCTGTTGAGGAACGAAGACCCTGGGAGACAAAAAACACACCTGAAAAAGTGAGGCAGCAGAATGCTTGCCTAGAGACTTGCTGAGGGACCAGGATGTGCAAAGGAGCATTGTGAGGAATGATGCTGACAGCCTGAAGAATTGGGGGCACTGGGAAGAGTGGGAGGGGGCTCTGCTCTGTTCTTGGCAAAGGCAGTGCACGCAGGAGCCCAGCTCTGGTCCTGTACACATACACACGTCAGAGGGAATGAAACAGGAGGAATTAGAAGGTGAACTTCTGGTGTGCAGCTTTGAACCCAGCAGGATTACAGACCTATGGAGAGAAAGTCCACAGGCTCACAGTGCTGCAGCAGATGGAAACAGGCACCCCAGGAG